GCACGGAGCCGCGCGGAGGAGGGGCCGCCCCCGCCCGCTGCTTCTCCAACGCCCTCAGGAACTCGGAAGTAAGTGAAGGTTCCTTGGTTTAGCATGTTTCGCCCCTTTTTGGGTAGAGGTGGTGGGCACCATCATTACTGATAGATAATGGAATGAGTAATAGCAGAGACTCTTCGCTTCACTACTCAGTGCTGTAGGTGCTGAGCCCGCTTCTGATTGACATCTACAACCGGATCTTCACGGAAGAAACACTGCTCTCCCTTCTCAATCTACCTAAAAGTGGTAGAAAGATGGGAATCCTCTGGAAAACCGCCGACCCCAGGAAGTCTAAACCCTTCATCATTACATTGCAATATTTGAAGGATTTTGAGTCACTAGGGATCTAAGCTATAGAAAACAAAGGAGCCACGGTAGGGCCAGACACTTCAGGAATCAACGACTTCCCACAAGGAATGTAAACATGTTGTTAGGAAATCGATCATGTTAAAGTATGCCGTGACGCCGCCATCACAGGCTGCATTTTCCTGGTGCTTCTTGGCTCCTAAAATGACCTCATGCTCTTATCTTTAGTTTCCCTCCCACCAAGGCCACAGGGAGACAGAGAAATTGAAACCTGTTTCTGCAGGGCTGGACCCATACAAAGCAACCTGGCCTGTGATAGGTTAAAAGTAGCCCACTCCTCATGAATAATCAATAGCCCGGCCCAAAACTGATAAAAGGACCTTCCTTTCTTTGTTCTCTTCCTCTCTTCTTCTTCCTCCTCTCTTTCTGCTCTCTCTCTCTCTACTCCCACCCCTTGAATAAAATCTCCAGTTGGACCTCTCGGGGTGTGTGTGTGGCCTAGTTGTTGAGCGTCACTATTCCCTTCCACATGTACTAATAGCTGGGCATGGTGGCACATGCCTGTAATCCCGGCACTCGGGAGGCTGAGGCAGGAGGATCGCTGTGAGTTTGATACCAGCCTGGGCTACAATAGTGAGTTCAGGTCAGTCTCAACTACATAGTGAGACCCTGTCTCAAAAAAAAAAAAAAAAA